CAGGGAAGGGAGTTCGTCGCTTCTCTCGCATGGAGTGGTTGAAGTCATGGCACTGCGCTGCCGAAACCCACGCCATCATGGTGGAAAATAACATACGGCAGAGCACTCGGCAAAGCACAGCTCTTGAAGTGCTTGTGTTTATTATTAGTTTTGCCACTGGCTAATTTGGTGGATTTCATTGAATTGAAAAATAAAGGGTGAAGGAAAAAAAATGATAGGCTGTCTGTTACAGTTCGATTTGGACGTAAAGAGCCAACGGGGTTCGTCTTGAGCGGGATTATCCAATGGTTTTTCAGTTGGATAACTGCTCGTAATTTATGTTTTTGCAGACACCGCCACCACTGACTTGGCAGGTAGTGCAATTTTTGGCATAGCATTGCTTTCGATGAGCTATTCGAGTGGAATGGGAGCTAGGTATCGTCTCGAGGCATTAACCATCGGTGAATCGATGAATGGTAAAAGAAGCAACATACAAAGAGCAAGCCATCTGGTGCGTGAGCCTGTCTTAATGCGAGGAGATGGATCAGCTGAGATAATCAACTGGGGTTAATCGAGCCTTCGACTAATTGAGCGGATTGATATCGAAGTTATATACTGCGTTCATCGATGATCGGTGGGTTCGGTTTTTGTTTAGAGTATAACTATTACACGTTAGCTAAACGCGAAATACATCAAATGTAAGAATCCCACTTTCATCGTCTGTATATATATATTTTTTTTCAGAGGAATCTACAACCGACTGTAGTGAACACGCAACCTTTCCGTAATAATCATGGGAGTTACCTTCTTTGATCTCAAAAAAGCCATCGATCACCAAGTCTTACTGCGAAAGCGATAACATTATGAGATAAGAAGCGTTGCCAATCAATTCATGGAAGCTCTCTCTCTCTCTTTCACTCTCTCTCTCTGACTGAACACAATACGTTGGATCAATGCAACAATGAATATTCCGTGAAATTTGGCAGTTGGTGTTCCACAGGGAAGCAATTTAGTTCCGTTGCTATACATCAAAAAAAGTGTTCTGAAATTTTGACTTTATCATGGTCAGTTTTTACATTGTATTGTATTCAAGGGGTTAGTCACTCTACACAGTGTGCCAAAATCAAACTTGGACACACCCGGGCGAAATCATTGGTGCTGTCTGGCACCCATGGTTACAATTTTTATGATCTTTAAAGTTACTGGCAACCCTGAACTTTTTCTGCGCTTGCAGTGTGCATGTGTCAAAATTGGTTATTGATGTTGCCACAATATAATAAAATTATTTTCAAAACAACCGTGAATCTCCACCAAGTCTCGCCATGGATTCTCAAAATCGTTACACCCGTGACGACAGTCGCATCCACATTTCCTCCCAGACGAAGAACAGCTGACATCGGTATCTTGACCTGAACAAGGTTTCCGGTCATGGCTGCACGAACTAGCGATGCAGCTCCCACGGCTGCGGCTGCTTCCAATGCTGCTGCTGGTCCGTCTTTTTTGGCGAATTTTACAGGAGACGGACCAGCAGAAGGATCAGCAGCAGCAGCATTGGAAGCAGCCGCGGGAGTTGCATCGCTAATTCGTATAGCCGAGGTCGACGCTGGAAATCTCGGTCCGGTCTCGACAAGCGGTGTTTGAGATTTAATCGGAAAGTAAACAACCAAACAAAAACTATACCATCCGACCATTCAAGCTGCTCGAATGGCGGTGGCTGCTACACCAACAATTCCATCATTCAACGTATAATGTTGGAGGACCGTCTTGTCGAATTGTCTGGCAGGGTGTACGGGTTGGTGGACTCTGACAAGTAGTTCTGCTTGGAAAATGCAATTTGAATATTGCTACCATCATTTCCATTAATTCGATGTTGTTCAAGTGATGGATGCTGCGTTCGACTGGTTCAACAACGATGGCGTCTCCCATCTGGACCATGGCGGTACCTTCGTTGGTCTTCAGGAACTTTATCCTGACCGAGATCCTGACAACATTTCCATACAGGCAGAACAGATTGAACAGCTTATCGGTGTTGGCTGTGTTGTTATCGAGTCCGTAGACCATCATCACTGCGCGCCCTGTTGCTGTGCCGGTTGAATGAAGTTGACTGGTCCGTTTCGGGTCAGCGGTGCGTCCTTCATCAGTCCGACGTGTGTTCTGGCCGGTGTTGGTTTCCAGTTTTCCCACGGATGATACTCGAGTGGTGCAAATCCGTTTCCTTCGCCGGCTCCCAGAAGGGCTGGTTGACTAATGATTGACGTTCGTTGTGCGGGGTCGGCCTTCCGCCGAAGATGGAAGGATCGTGTAGCAACGGAGCTCGTCCGTTGCAGGCATCCTTGGAGACGGATGCATCCAGTGTATAGTCCCAACGGGAGTCCGTGTCGTTTTTGAAAACATTATAAAACAAAACAAAAACAAGAGCTGTTAAAATACCGGGTTGCCAAGCAAGGCATTATTCACAAGCAAATAAAAGTCAGTTCAATGACTTCTTGGCACTGCCCGTACAGCTGTGGCACACTGAGATACACTGAGAAAAATGTTGGCGCATAATAAGTTGACAATAAATTATATTTTATCAAAATTTTAAACAGCGGCGCCAGTGGTGTACTCACTAGAGAAGATTGGAGCTTTGTAAAAGCGTTTCAAACCAGTTTTTGACAATTCTTTCGACTGAAATTGTTAGAGCAGCTGGCAGCAAAAGATTTTAAACAAACCAATACTGCATATGTGTGCGTTCCATAGAGAAAAAGGCTATAGAAAGAAGGTCGCTGCTTAGGTTGCCGAGAATACGTAAATTCCCCTACATGAATTTGATTTCAATAGCATTATTATCGATACAGTTGAAAACCACTAGTGAAAATCAATTTTACTATCTCTCTAAACGTTACACATAGCGTCGAAAGAATTGCGCTTGAATCGCACAATGATACGCTATAATGCGCACCACTTCCGATACTATCTATAACGGATAGATCAAGAGTAAAATCGATTTTTGCTAGTGGGTTATGCCAGTTTTCATCTGTAGCAACAATATTTTAAAATAGGATTTTTACGTATTTGGCTGTTTCTGAGCATTCCAGATTTTTCCAGATTTTATATTCTAACTGGACAGATTTTCTTGGAAATGAACTGGCAACGCTGGTCGTGAGTGCGTACAGAACCATCTCATCGAAAGCAGTATGCCCTATCGCCGGAATGATCCCTATCGGCATCACCCGGTGGAGGACAGCGAGTGCTACAGTCTGAGAGAAGCCGGTTGAGTACGGAAAGTGGTAAAAGCGGAGTCTTTGACAAAGTGGCAATAGGAGTGGAACAAGGTGGATGGACGCATCGGTTATTACCGATTCTTTCGACCTATGTGAACAGAAAACACGGAGAAATCAACCACAACTGAACGCAGTTCCTGTCTGGTGACGGTTGACTGTCAAAGGTGCGAGACAGTGCGAAGGGAGATGCCTGTCCTTGGCTTGGAGAATCTCGTCGATGAAATGTGTCCAGAGGAAGGCACTTGGAATGGAGAGAAGAGCAGCGATCTAGCAACGCCAGCTAGCACTGAGAGTATGAGAAGTGCCGCCCCCTCGAAGTAGTTGCTTCAGGCTCAGTAAGGAATGGGCTTTAGTCGAGCTACACTAGGCAACTAGTGGATACCACCCTATGCCAACTTCAATACAGGTCTGGCTGTTTGACCCCCCCTCATTTTCTCTGCTTTGAAAGTTGATAAAGTTGATAAAGTTGATAAAGTTGATAAAGTTGATAAAGTTGATACCCACCGCCCCCCCCCCCCCATTTTCTCTGCTTTGAAAGTTGATACATATTTCACTATCGTCAAAGGAAAATTATTTCAATAATTCTAATTATTTGATGGTTTAGAAGAGTTTTTACAAATAATACGACAAGGTGGGCTAAAACGTACCCTGGCGTTATATGACCAACAGCGTTTTTTCTCGTACTATTAAAAGACTACTTGATGTAAACAATTTCCCAGATGACTGTTCTGCAGCTCTTCTAGTGATTATGGGTGAAACTCCATTAAATTTGGTTTTCAAAACACGTAAATAAGCGCTGATGGCCATATTATCCCATAGCACCCCGTACCCTATAAGGATTTCATTATTCTGTAATAGTTTTGATTAAAAAATTAATGGGATTTTTTTGCTGATTTTGTCAGTTTCCCGTTTTTGTCAGCCTAAAATTTGAGTAGGGGCTGACATAATCGGGAATGCACTGTATTTTGAATAAAATAAAGTCAATTGAACATTCCAACGGAAAACGCTAGAACGTTATTCCTCATTCTTGGAGTTGCATTCTTCTTCAAAACATGAGTAGACAGTTGGTCGTCTGAACTGTGTTCCTTTAAATTTCATTCAACGTTTTTTCCAAGCGACCTTTTGTCCAATTCGACGTTTTTCCCTTTCAAATTTTAGTTGACCTTTAGTTCCGTAGACACAGTTTGATGTAGGTACTTACTCCTTAAAAGCGCGTCGTCATCAGTAAGAGCTTTAGACGGAGTTGAAACTGAACTAAAAAACGGAGAAATTTCACACACTGCATGTTAACAGGCTTGGTACCAATCCATAAGTAATTTAGTTGAATAATATAGGCACCGTCAAGTGTAAAATTCTCAGCCACCACATTGTTGTGCGAATCTACGTAGAACAAACCCACGAAGTCATTTTTGACTGCGCAGTTGAATTCGATTCCAATCGTTTATACGTTTCCTTGAAATAAAGAACATTCATTGATCAGTAATGCCACACAATTATAGATCACTTATTTAACACAGGGAAACCGAACGATTCCATTATGCTGCTTAGACGAAAATGCATCATCATGCTTTGCATGCTCGACATATTTTACTCGCTGCACGGTTTGACCCATTATTTTCCTCAACATACCTCAGCACTGTGGAATGTCCCTACAGCAATCAGGCAGCAGCTTCCGAACCATTAAATCATTTGCATCAATTATATCAATCATCAGTTTTTAAAAGGTTCTGTAACTCGAACCCATCCAATTATACTTACAACCAATAATAACACCAAAACCCTCATCTTCATTGGACTTTATTCTCGACACCAGCCAGCAGCACTCATATGGTGCGTGCATACATGGGTTGTATATTCTAATTAGGTGAGTTGGATCGCCACGCACAGACACAGACACACACACGCACGCACACACAGCGATCGAATAACTAGGAAATTTGAACGACCTTGCAATTTATTTTTTCCTTCACTTTTCTTCCTCTCCTTTTGCTTCTGCTTCGGCTTCTGCTGCAACTCCGTCGTCTATCGATGCTGATTGGATCCGTTTTCTCTTGACCAATTACGTTCCGGAACAAGAAACGATTCTTGAAATCACCCGAAAAAAAAAGATCAATCACTTTCGGCAAAATTTGAAGAATTTTTTTTCACTTGCCGATATTTTTCGCGTTTTCCTTGTTTACACACTCACTTCTTCTGCAAACGGTATGCAAAAATAAAAATTGGCAATCACTTGCAATTTTGTTTCGTTCCGTTGTTTGATTTTTTTTTTCTTATTCAACTCGCTTCCTATTTACACTTGCTCGCGAAAACTCGTACGCGCCCCTTGACCAAAACCCCCAAGGCAGAGAGTAGTAGCAGGCTCTTCGTTTCGACGGACGGGTGGAAGGATAGGATAGTTCGTTCCGAATAAAATGTCTGTTACAATGGCAACATGTGCGCGCGCGTACACGAAACAGGCTACTGCGATCGGAGCCGCAGCGTGGTGTGTTCAAACGATCGTTACAGACTGAAGCCGTCTGCGGTGTCGGATCGCTACGAAAGCTTCAGTCTCGCGGATCGGCCGGCACGTCGCGACGGTGGCTACTAGCTCGGATCCGGTCGGGATCCTCGAGAGGTTTACGCTTGAGACTGAGGGGTGTCTTTCTCTTTTTTGGGGAATTTTAATGGTTTTACATGCATCAGTTCAATTGCTGATAGCCTAAAATTGATTGCTGTTGAGGCGGGGTAGTTGGACTTGGAGGCACGGGAGTGAAACACGGTGATCATGAGCCAAAAACCATTGCAAAGTAATGTAGATTACCTTCACCATGGCGTACTTGAAATTGTACTGTGCCATGTGGGACTTTTAGCAAGTTGATTAATGTGGATTAGGTGGGTAAATTGGATCAAAGTGTTGCTGCTGTTTGTTGTTGCAATCAACAGCAATGAGTCGTAAATTGTTTCAAATGTGCGTGCTTGTGAAGTTAATTTATGAGGACTGCACTTTCTGTAGGTTGTGATTTAAGGCTAGCTTGTACCGGATGAAACTTCATTATATGATCTCAAACACATTATCATACAGGAATCCTTGGAAAACCTACTGGGAACAAGGGGTAGGTCATTTCACATACCAATCTTGGGTCATATTTGTTGACAGTGTGCCGCAGGTGTGCCAATTGTGCCGGTCATAGAGCAAGCTGCGATTGTTTGTAAAATATCCATCCTGGCAACCCGTTGTTTTGGGGTGTGTTTTGGTGTTTTATAATGCCCTCAAAGGCTGACCAAAAACCTAGCCTTTCGTGATGTGAAAAGCAACGGTCTATCAGCGGCGGGAAAGAGTTGGAACCAGTAGGGAACATCCCAACAAACTATTCAAAGTCACAAATAACGCACAAAGTCACATATTACGCTTTAATTCGACTGTTTTGATAAAATGCTTTATTAGGCGTCTTATAAATGTTTTCTAGCTCCATTATTAGATTTCATTGCATTGCTTTACAATATTGCTGTATAAAGGTGAATACAGTCAGCAAAATAGCTCTTATACCGCTATGCGTATAAACGATGTATTAGATTCATTATTCCACAACACTGGTTTTGTTTAACAACAAGACGAAATCAGTAGAGTATTGGTTACCGTTTCCGCTTTTCAAGTAGAAGGTGGCGAGTTCAATCTCAAGCGCAATCCTTTTTTTTTTATTTGTGTTCTAAATCGTAATCATCGATCACATCACTCACGACAGCAAATTAATTGATTTAGTTTAATAAATAACCCAGCATTCTTAACATGGAAATTGAATAGTTGAAGTGGTAGAATTGATAGCTCAGATGGCAACGCAAGCGGTAGGTGATCGAAAGGTACATGGTATGAAACCCATGCAAACGGACATGTATATGTATGTAATAAATTTTCTAGTATCTGTGTGGTGCGTGTTTTGTCAGAAATAATGAAAACAATCTGTTCAGAGATGGAATTCTTCTTGGTGAACTCACACAACGCTGAAGTTTGCGACCGATGAGACTCAAAGCGGACACCTTCGCGGCTACTTCTTTCGACCGATAATTACAACTCGAGGTACTTTCGGATTACGCGGAATTCGTATGCCTTAGGTGAACAAGCGATATCGTCTGCTTCATACAAGTGCTATATTTCAACTAACTCTGGAAAATACAATTCGGTTCGTGGGTTCGGTTATATCTTTCATTGTAGTAGTATGTGAGAAAAGGTTTCTATGGATCAAAGAACGCAAAAGATCGACTTCCTATTATAGGGTTCAATAATAAATTCGCCTACTCACAATTATTAGGTGTTATCGGGAAACTGTTATACATTTTGAATTCTAGTTCAACAAAATTAAGAAAGGTGTATTCATATTGAATAGTAATTAACTCTGCTCCAAACACAATCACTAAAAAAAAGACAACTCTGTCTGTCTCTACCGTTCTTTATTTTTGGGTAAATTTTCCTGCAGTTGAATAATCGTGTCTAATTCAAACGTTAATTCACATGATAATCAACCCAACAAACAATTTGAGCTGCTTAAAGGTTGAATAAGCTATGTTTTAGCTGAAGAAGCAAATTTTTGACTGAACAAGCTCTTGTTCTGCTTCCAATGTTTGTTGGGAAGTGTATACATCATCTCTGTTTAAGGAACAAAGACGTCCAATAAACGCTGAATAATAAAACATTAATGCCTCTTTCTCTTGAGCACACTCTAGAACCTACATTTCGTAGTTAGATCTATAAGTGAACTGCTGGTCTGAGTTCCTCTGGTATATTCAATTAGAGGATGTTCCCAAATATACAGTCAAACAGCACGTAATATTGTGAACAACTTCAATGACAGTTATCCAGCAGTGCTCCCATTTTATTTACAACAATCCAATGCCTATGAGATTGTGCCGAAGAAGTGCCGATGGATGTGCCCAAGCTGTGCCAAATCTTATTTCAGAACAATATGCTGAGTGACTTACCCTTTTTTTTTTTTTTCATACAGAGGGGAGTTTGCTCACAGACACCTGAGAAGGAACTCAGGGTGTGGGGATGGGAGAATTTCACTCCCGACCCACTAAACCTTACCCTGTGCGCTTGGCCTTTGACCTCCCCGGAACCACCCGAAGGCATTACTTCGTGGGAGGGGCCGCTGCAGCGCTATGGCGTCTCTCTAGCAATACTCTAACGATCTGGTCGGGCAGTAGGTAACTGCTGTTCGGCTCGCCACTGTCGTTGTAATACCGAAACTATGTGGGTGACCGCAGTCACCACCGCGCTCCAGTTCTCGGTGGTACCACACATCCTATGAACGATGTTGTCCGGACTGGTATCCGCTCCGCATATCGCTAGCATAGCGCTCGATACTGGCTCGAAACGTGGACAGGCAAACACGACGTGTTCGGCGGTCTCCTCGACACCAGCACAAGTGGGGCAGATGGGAGTACTTATTGCATGTCCGAACCTATGCAGGTAGCTCCTAAAGCAGCCATGGCCTGACAGGAACTGTGTCAGGTGGAAGTTTACTTCCCCATGGCGCCTGTTGACCCAGCTTGATACGGAAGGTATCAAGCGGTAAGTCCACCTCCCCTTTGTGGAGTTTTCCCACTCCAATTGCCATCTCGCGGTCGACACAACTCGCGCGTTGTTGCGCACCCCTCGAACGGTCCTCGCGTCATAGCACGCCACATCCTCCTTAATGATAAGGCTGATTGGCATCATCCCTGCTATGACACAGATGGCCTCTCTCGAGATAGTGCGGTATGCACTGGCCACCCTTAAGCACATTAGCCTGTGTGTACTCTCTAATTTCTGCCTGTGGCAGTCAATATCCAGTACCGCAGCCCACGCAGGGCCGCCGTATCTGAGGATAGATACTACGACCCCAGCGAGGAGCCTGCGCTTACTGGCATTCACTGCTGAGCTGTTTTACATCATACGGGATAATGCCCCCACAGCCATAGACGCTCTCTTGCAGGCGTACTCGACGTGGCAGCCGAAGCTGAGCTTATCGTCGAGCATGACCCCCAAGAGTTTTAGAGAGCGCACAGACCTAATTGTGCTTCCGCCGACTGTCAACGTTGCATGCTGTACTGACATGCGATTGTTGACTACGACCACTTCCGTCTTGTGATGGGCGAGCTCCAGTTTCCTGGTTCTCATCCATTCCTCCACAAGCCTGACGCAGTGGGCCGCTATCAGCTCTACCTCCTCGAGGGATTCCCCGCAGACTACCAGCGTGACATCGTCGGCAAAACCTACAATTTTCACGCCTACCGGGAATTTTATCCTCAACAGTCCATCGTACATGACGTTCCATAACACCGGGCCCAGGATGGAGCCTTGTGGCACACCTGCGGTGACTCTAACGCATTTTTCGCCATCTTCTGTGTCGTACGTCAACACACGATTCTGGAAGTAGCTTTCCAGAATCTTATAAAGCCCTCCGGGAATTTGGAGCTGGTGTAGCGAGCGGGCTATCGCCCCCCAGCACGCGCTGTTGAACGCGTTCTTCACGTCTAAGGTTAGCACCGCGCAGTAGCGAATGCCCCTTCGTTTCCGATGGACCACCTCTGCCGTCTGGATGACGTCGCGGATGGCGTCCACCGTGGATCTGCCCTTTCGGAACCCGTACTGGCTGCTTGACAGGCCGTCTACACCTTCGGTGTGGGCCGACAGCCTGTTGAGGATGACCCTCTCAAGCAGTTTCCCAGTGGTGTCCAGCAAACAGATGGGTCTGTATGCTGACGGGTCCCCAGGGGGTTTTCCTGGCTTCGGAAGCAGCACCAACTTCTGCCGCTTCCACGCGTCTGGGAAGACGCCTACGTCCAGACAAGTCTGAAAAACAGAACGGAACATGTCTGGATTTTCCGCAACGGCCGCCCTCAGAGCCACAACCGGGATCCCATCTGGGCCCGGGGCCTTGCCCACCACCATCGACCTGGCAATACCGCCAAGTTCACTGTTCGTCACTCTAGACACTTCTCCCTGATCCGCGCCTGGGATCCGCGGCCAGGAGTCTACGTCCCTACGCGGGAACAGGAACCCAACGATCGGAGCCAGTACCGCTGGTGATCTCTCCGGAGGTGCCGTCACGCCGCGGGTCTTTGCCATGACCACTTTGTAAGCATCCCCCCATGGGTTCGTGTTGGCGCTTTGGCATAGGCTGTCAAAGCACGCGCGCTTGCGTCTGGCGATCTCTTTATTGAGGGCTGCCTTAGCCGCTCGGAGAGCGACGCGGCGTTCCTCCCGAGATTCAGTCGTACGAGCTCGTTGCATTCTCCTTCTCGCCTGGAGGCAAGACGCCCTGAGGATAGCAATCGACTCGCTCCACCAGTACACCGGTCTGTGGCCATGCCTGGGATAGGCTCTCCTAGGCATGGTTGTATCGCA